CACAGACGACCCCGTAACAATATGCGTTTTGTACTGCTGTTACACAGCACAAAACGCATAAAAATTGCTTAATACTCACCTTGCGCACGAGCTAGTGATGGAATTCGCCGCTTGACTAAGAAAAATTATGCAGCTATAACAGGTTATTAGAGAAATAGTAGCATTCGGATCTACGTAGAGTTATTGTGTAATTAAGCCACATCACAAAATTGCCGAAAGCTAGGCAGCCGAAATCCGAATAATTTTTGGTAAATTTAATAAAAAATTAAATTTTACAGATGGCTCAAAATCCATCTATGAACGCTTAAAAAATATCAATCCTCGAAAAACCCTCGGGACAGTTCTTGTACTGTGCGGTTGGAAGCTCTACTTCAACATGTATCATCCGATGCATACACTGCCGGGTAAAAAGAATTTCTTGGGATTCGACGATGACGGTGATGATGCTAGTAGCGATGATTCAGATGTGGATAAAGCCTCGAAGGAAGAGGTAAAAATTGTTTTAGTATCGGCCAAAATTGAACAGCCATAATAAAACCTTCTTTTATAGCGGAGACATTTTTCCCCCGAATAATATGAAAGATTTTAGTGCACAAATTTCATAATCGAAAAGAAAATTTACAAATATATATATTAGTGACAGTTCAGCCCATGGTGCTGCATTGGTTTTGGAAAAGAGCCGCCCAGTGCGCAAAATTTTTCTCGTCTTCTTTGCAGTCAATTTGATTATTTGCCTCTGTGTTGCAAAAGGAAGAAGGAGCTAGTAGCAAGGAAACGACGAGGAAAACCCTCTTCACCTTGCCCAGTTGCCCTTCGGTTCCCTGTGATATGCAAATGTGCCATCTCTTGACCCGAGTTCCCCCTCCCCCCTCCGTGATATTTAATGTTGTGATTAGAAATGAAATAAGAAATTGCTTTTTTTGCTCTAAAAACTGTGCAGCGGCAGTTTGGAACTGCTGTCGGGCAATTTCAGGGTTTGTATTTTTTTTTGACTTGTTTTAAGCGGTTGTACTAGTAAAGAGGTGTTTTGGTGTTGGAGCGTTTTCCTGCCCAGGTCTAGCCTCCTCCTCCTGGTCGTTACATACGTGTTGTATAATCGAGAGTTCATTTTGCATTATCACGAATATGATGATAAGAATATCAGTCTGATTTTCTTAATGTTAAAGCCATCTTTAAAGGAACAGAATATGGAAAATCCACGCAAATTTAGGATTTGAATCGCGAAATTTACAGAGATTTTTGTGCCCTCTGAATCAGTTATCATA